GCTGAGCCAAACCCCCCGGGGGGGGAGCCGGGGGGGGGGGGTTGGCAGGCCTGTCCCTGTAAGAGAGGGAGATTAGATTAGATTTATACCCCGCCCTTCACTACCTGAAGGAGTATCAGAGCGGCTTACAGTCTCCTTTCCCTCCCCCTCCCCACAACAGACACCCTGTGAGGTGGGTGGGGCTGAGAGAGCTCTTGAGAGGACTGTCCTTGAGAGAACAGCTCTGACAGAACTATGGCGTGCCCAAGATCACATCAGCAGGTGCAAATGGAGGAGTGGGGAATCAAACCCGGTTCTCCCAGATTAGAGTCCGCACTCCTAACCACTACACCAAACTGAAGAGGAGGAGATTGGATTTATACCCTGCCCTTCACTACCTGGATGAGTCTGAGTTGTTTACAATCTCCTTTCCCTCCCCCTCCCCACAACAGACACCCTGTGAGGTAGGCAGGGCTGAGAGAGCTCTCTCGAGAACAGCTCTGAGAGAACCCAAGGCCACACCAGCAGGTACATGCAGAGGAATGGGGAATCAAACCCAGCTCTCCCAGATTAGAGTCCGCACTCCTAAACACTACACCAAACTGAAGAGGAGATTGGATTTATACCCTGCCCTTCACTACCTGGATGAGTCTGAGTTGTTTACAATCTCCTTTCCCTCCCCCTCCCCACAACAGACACCCTGTGAGGTAGGCAGGGCTGAGAGAGCTCTCTCGAGAACAGCTCTGAGAGAACCCAAGGCCACACCAGCAGGTACATGCAGAGGAATGGGGAATCAAACCCAGCTCTCCCAGATTAGAGTCCGCACTCCTAAACACTACACCAAACTGAAGAGGAGATTGGATTTATACCCTGCCCTTCACTGCCCGGAGGAGGAATGGGGAATCATCCCAGCTCTCCCGGAGTAGAGTCTGTGCTCTTAACCACTACACCAAACTGGTTAAGTAGCCCCATATGGCCCTGATCCTGGAAAAGCTCTCTTCTTTCCCCACCGCTGAGGATTACTCATACACTGCACACTCCGATTGCAAGGGGAAGAACAGATGAGCCACTAATGCATTTCTCGTTTGCACTTTATTGATATCCTGCTTTCCTCCCCAGTTGGGACTCCAGCAGCTCAGCACGCCATTCTCTCCTCCGCCACTCTCACACAACAAACCATCCTGTTGAGGTAGGCCAGGCTGAGGATTGACGACGGGCCCCAGGTCGCCCGGAGAGCTTCCACGGTGGAGGTGGGGACTCAAACCCAGGTCACTCAAGATCCTGGTCCCGCCCTCTGTCCCCGACACCACGGCGGCTCTCCCCGGGGGCCTTCCTCCTGTGAGCCCCCCACTCTCTTTCTCACTATAGTTTTGAAATTGTCATTGGGAAGGTTTGGGGGGGAAATCGATGCTTCTTGGGCAGGCAGCCCAGAGGAACTGCCCATGTGGCTTGGAATACGACCTTGAGTGCTCGCTGCAATGACGAAGCATCCTGCTCAGAGTGGAGAGGGGTGGGAGGCAGAGAGGGGAAGGGATAGACGCAGTGGATCAGCTGCCCAGGTGGAGAATCTAATAAAGTGAGGCCAGCGTGGAATGGAGGGGTTGTGGTGCCATGGTGGTTCGGTTCCCAGGCAGCTTTGAACGCCACTGCCAGGAGTTGAAGTGCTATTTCAAGCTGGTACACAGACCAGGACGGAGAGATGTTTTAATCACATTTGCTTCCCCGTCCGTCACAAAACAGCTTTTGAAAATCCCTTGTTTGCTATACTGCACAGGCAAAAGAAGGCGATATTCAAGAACCCCAGGCCTGGGCAGTTAGTTCATGCTTTTATGGGGTCTGGCCTCAGTTTCAAGCTCAGCTACACACACACACACACACCCAATTCTGCAGCAAGAAGAAGAGGAGATTGGATTTATACCCCGTCCGTCACTACCCAAAGGAGTCTCAGAGCAGATTACAATCTCCTTTCCCTTCCCCTCCCGACGACAGACACCCTGTGAGGCAGGTGGGGCTGAGAGAGCTCTTTCGAGGACTGCTCCTGAGAGAACAGCTCTGAGAGAACTTGTGACTGACCCAAGGAATGCGTAGATGAGGTCCCTGCCTCCCCGGGTCTCCTCAAACTTGGCATCCAGCTGACCGGAGTAGGTGATTTCGAACAAGAAATCCGGCACGGGGACCGCAACGCTGGGCACTCCAGTCAGCTCCTGGATCTTCTTATACTTAAAAGCAAGCAAGGTTTCTTTCAGGTATTGGTTTAGAGGGGGGGTGGAACCCAGCTCCTTGGCCTCCAAAATTGAAAAGAAGAAGAGACTGGATTTATACCCCGTCCTTCACCACCCAAAGGAGTCTCACAGAGGCTTCCAATCTCCTTCCCCTTCCCCTCCCCACAACAGACACCCTGTGAGGTAGGTGGGGCCGCGAGAGCTCTTTCGAGGAAGGCTCCTGAGAGAACAGCCCTGAGAGAACTTGTGACTGACCCAAGGTCACACCAGCAGCTGCATGTGGAGGAGTGGGGACTCCAACCCAGTTCTCCCAGATTAGAGTCCGCGCTCCTAACCACTACACCAAACAGGAACGTCATTACTTTGCACAGGAAGAACATAGACTTTAAATGGCCGAAGTGCTTTATGGTGTATATATTGAAATAGCCTTCACAAATAAACCTGCGAGGTAGAGGGTTATCTGCACTTAACAAAATTTCAGAACTGTGATTGAGGGCGACAGGCCTCTGACCCAGGTAGGATTCGAAACCATGTTTTTCAGCATGTATGTTTCAAGGGACTTGACTCCCATGGATAAAGACAAACGAGAAACGACTTCCACAGTCAGCCGTCAGCCTCTGCAAGCAAACCAAAGAAGTCTGATATTTTTATTTGCGCCCCCCCCCCTCCCCAAAGAGACCATTCCCGTTCTTTTACAAAAAAAAATCCTAAAAAATAGACAGGAAAATAGAATTATGCTTCATATACTGTACTTAAGAAAAGGTACAATCCCTGGTGCCCCAGGCAGCCAATCACATGCCAGTATTTATTTAGCTCAGGCGGGCTTGCTAAGGTGACCCGCCCTCTTTCGATATGAGGTCATTTCTGCTTCCTGTACGGAAGCCGGGGCTTACGCAGCCAGAGGTACAGTGCTTTGCGAGAGAGCCAAAGAAACGTTAGAGGGCCTGCAGTGCTTGTGTATTACAGATCTGGTTCAAGAACGCGGAAGAGGTGGAGGGGAGTACTGCATCAAAGCTAGAAACAAATGCAAAACAGCGAATGCCGTCTGCCGTGTGGTCTCTCAAACAGAACGCAGATAGAAAGGCTGGGCTCTGGCCAACAAGGTTACTTCAACCAACAAAAGTCCTTCAACCAACAGTACAGCACACAGCAAGAAATATCAAAGACCAACAGAAAACAACTGTGAGCTGAATTACCCGCAAAAATATATACAAAATTCAACAAAAATATATACAAAATTCAACAAAATTAAATGCACAGTCCAGAGACTACCCAAAGGGAACAAAGAACTATAGGAAGTCTCATTCCATTTCCTTATAGGACAATATAGGACATGCATGTTTGGTCCTGTTACACAGAAGCAGGCTCAAGAGGTGCTCACTGAAGCTTAGGAGACCTGGCCCATAAAGAAACTGAACAGTCTTGTCCTGTAAAGAAATTGGAAATGATGATGTATAGATGGTATGTGACACCGGAAAAAATTGCAAATATGAATAGCAATATGTCTAACAAATGTTGGAAATGTAAAAAAGATAGAAGGCTCGTTTTATCATATGTGGTGGACATGTGAAAAAGCAAAAATGTTTTGGACTGAAATACATACAGAAATGGAGAGAATGGTAAAATGTAATTTTAAGAAAGAACCCGAAATATTGCTTTTAGGACTTAAAATGGAAGAAGTGAATATGGCAAAAAGGACGCTGATGTGGTATATGATTACAACTGCCAGAATGATATATGCCCAATGCTGGAAACAAGAGAAAATACCTGAAATTGAGCAATGGATACAGAAATTACTTTTTATGGCGGAAATGGACAAATTGACAAGAAAACTTAATAACAAACCTGCAGAAGAATTTTTTGAGGACTGGAAAGACTTTAAAGAGTATTTGGAAAAATACTGGGATGTAAGAGACAATCCGCTTTGCTTTGAGAACTATTGAGATAGTAAGAAAATTTAAATGTTTAATAATTAGAAAATACGTTGCCGGTAGAATTCTATGTAACGGGAAGAAGAATTAGGGGGAGGTTAAGTATGAGCTGGAGGTTGGAGCACTGTAGGAAGCCAAAGAGGGGAGGGGGAAAGAGGGAAACGGATATAAAACAAGTATTAATTTGTATTCTGTGTGAACATGAATTATATCCTAATAAATTTGTTTACAAAAAGAAAAAGAAAGAAAGAAATTGGAATGAGACTTCCTAATGTTGTTCTTTGTTCCTGAGGAAGGACCAGAAGTCTGAAACACTGCATACTACCTAGGAAAAGTGTTGGATATCTACTCTGGACTTTGTGTTTTCCTTTCATGGATCCTGTGGGCGTCTGTATTTTCCTAGGATGGATTATATGTATAGATTCATTCTTGATTCCGTGTGCATTTCACTTTGTCGAAGTCTCCTTTTGGATATGTCTTTGCGGGTAATTCAGCTCACAGTTGTTTTCTGTTAGACAAAAGTCCTTGCCAGTCCTATTCTGCTTCAGAGTGGCCGGTCTCAAAATGGAGGGGCAGGGGGTTGGAGGACCGGTATGCTTCATTTTTCTTGCTGGGCTGTGCAAACCCTTGAGTGCAGACGGGGGCCTTTAAGAAAAACCAGACTGCGCGGCCCTGCAAACCCACTCTTGGACACGCCCAGAGACCGGTGTGAACACCCTCCTCAAATGCATGCACGCGCACACCCTGTACCTGAACCCCACCAACCACCACCACCACACCAGCTGCTTTACTTTGGTTCCCAGGGGGAACCAAAGCAGCTTACATTGTTCGCCTCTATTTTCTCCTCACAACGGCCCTGCGCATGAACCATCCTATTGGGGGGGGGGAACCCTTCTCTTATATGACCAACTGGTGAGTCAGCTATCGCTGGGAGGACTAAACGCCAGCTTATGGAGGTACCTGGCCTCCACCGGAGGCACTGTGGTCTGTTTTGCGCAGGCTGATATTGCTGGGGGGGGGAGGGGTATTCCTTCCTTTCGAGGAAGAGGGTTGAACTCAAGACCCTTCTAACTCAGGAGAAGAACAGCGATATGGCTCTAAGTAGACAAGTGAGGTGGGCTGTTGGGAGGGCAGAAGGCACAACGGCCGGGAGGAAATGCCGGCACCACACCCGCACGCCTCGCTCCGGACTGTGTGAATGTTTCCTGGGAGCATTAGACCAGAGCTAGCTGAAACCCCCGAGTATGCTTTCACCCGCGTGGCCACACCCTCCTCCAAAACCTGCTTGCTTCCGAAAGGCTCTTTGGCAAGTCTGCCTCCAGGCCCGTGCCGGAAAGAGTGCGCAAACGATTCGAGTGAAGCTCTGTGGAAAGATATGCATCAGAGAACACCTCGCCTTGCTGACCGCTTTGGACGCGCTGCGATGCTGTAGAGGCGGGCACACCCCGAGCCCGGCAGCTTCCACGCTAAGCTTGGCCAACTGCTTTTCCGCAGCGTTTCCTTCCCACAACGTGTCTTCCCCTTCGGACCAGCTGTAGCACGCCTTTCCCAGGGACAGAAAGAGAGGGCTCCGTCTTGCTGTTTCTTTTTCGTGGAAAGGAGACAACGCTCAAGCCCTGGTCTGACCTCAAAGTCTGCCTGGAAGTTTAAGACGGCATAAACTCCTCCCCTCACCCCCCCTCCCTCGCTCCCCACGGCCCCCTCCGGAGCTTCGGAGCCACGAGTCTCACAAAAACTTGACCGCTCTTGCGTTAAGGCACGTGGTGGAAAGCCGGCGTCCCCGCCGGGGCTAGACGTTCATTGTTCTACATCGAAAATCTTGTTCCAGTAGTAGGCGAAAGTGGGGGAATTGCAGGCCCCGATGGCGACCAACAGGAGCAGGTAGAAAGTCATTGAAATGGCAAAGCAGTGCTTCGAAAACCAAGACTGACCGGCGGGCCTGCGAAGGGGAGGAAAAGTCCGACACTGCTGTTACTGAGCCCGCACGCAAAGCAGAGGCCGTCTCCGACCCTCGGGCAGGTTTTTGCAGAGGGCAACAATATGGAAAGTGCTCTGTTTATGTCCCACCATGCATCGGGTTAATCGGTGGGGGGATTTATTTAGTTATTTGATTTGATTTGTAGCCCCCCCTCCCCTATACATAGGGCTCAGGGCGGTGGACAACATTTCCGTAAAAGAACAAAGTTGGAGCCCAGCAGCACCTTAAGACCAACAAAGTTTTATTCAAGGTGTGAGCTTTCGTGTGCATGCAACACTTCGTCAGATACAATGAAATGGGGGGAAAAAAACATACGGACTTCCGGTTTTGGTGCTCTAATGGCGGATGCGCCGCTCGGGAGCTCCCGAGGGCTCGATCCGTGAACCGGCGGATGGAGAGGGGGTACAATTTTGAGATGTAAAATTTCTGGAAATTTTGAAGCTCGGAAAAAAACAGTTTTTTCCCCAGTTTTTTCCGGGGAAAAATGGAAATTTTTGGAAAAATTGAAAAAAAATGCTACATTAGCAATTTTTTTGTCTTTTCCAGATTGAAAGTCATTCTGTTACTTTAGGAAAATAAAATAAGACTATGGACATTTTTACTTGGCATGAAATTATCACAACTAGCCTATTAAAAATAGAGTGTATCCAAACAATTATTACAAACAGAATACCCAACCACATGCAAAAACAAAACTGAAACCTTTGTCTTTTCTCATGACAATAGCACCTCCTAAAGGAAGAAATGCATCTTGTTCTTGCATTGGAGAGTTCAGTTTGTAATTAGAACTTGCTTGTCCTCAGTACACAGAAATTAGATCAATCTGATACCATATATATATATATATATTAGAAATGATTTGGAAAATATTTGAACACCTTGTCTTAAAATATTTTATTCATCATGTTAAAATAAAACATTCCATAATCAATTTTTTTCTTTTCTTTTTTCAATTTTTCCAAATTTTCGGGAAAAAAAAAAAGGCTTCAGGAAAAAAACAGAAAAAAACTGTTTTTTCCCCAAATTTTTCCGGTTTTTTTCTGGGCCTTCACATCTCTAGGTACAATATATGTAATAAATATGTCAGAACCGGAGACTGATGTACCCTAAATTGTGAGGATTCGGTCATTAGATCCCATCCATCTCCTTTCTAGCACGGAGGCAAACTTTAAAGCATCTTGGCTGTGCAGAGTATTTTTCTTGTCCCCAGAATAGGGAATTACATTTAAATCTACCATTCCAAATGACATTATATATCCAATTATATTCTTAATTGCTGAGAGTAGTAAACTTCCCCCCCCTCCAGTTGAACCCAAACAGACGATAATCAGAAAACAAGCTTGTCATTCTTTGTATTGGTTAAAAAACAGCCCCACTATTTTGCATGCTAATTTAACAAGCCACCATCTATATATACAACTATGATCAGTGATCCCTCTAAGCTGAGTTAGGGTGAGCTGGCTCACAGTTTTTTAGCCTCCGGCTCACCCATTTTGGTCTTCGCTCAGGAAGGGAGGGCTCCAGAGCAAACTGATTTGCACAGCAGCCAAACCACTCGCTCACAACTTCAATGTCAGTAGCTCACAAAGTAGAATTCTTGCTCACAGGACTCCACAGCTTAGAGGGATCATTGACTATGATATGGAATTCCATTTCACTGTCTGACGGAGTGTGCATGGCGCATGAAAGCTCAATCCCTGAAGGAAACCTGATTGGTCTTCAAGGTGCGCCCCTGGACTCAAGCCTTGTTCTGCTGCTTCAGAGCAACACGGCTGCCCACTCTGATCAACCTTTCCATGAAACATATTTACAAAACCGAATTTAAAATAGACGAAAACGATCGACAATTCTATTACTATTTCTGACGACGCTTAACAGACCAAATTGTGCCCTTACCCCACGGGGAGGAGAAGAGAAGGGGAGGAAGAGGCCAGGCTTGGTAGAGACCAAAAAGGCTGGGCACAGCCAGATGTCTTTCAGGCCAGGGAACACCTCGCTTGTATTTTTTTGGCTTGCCTTAAAATTAGGTTTCGGTGACTGCTGTTTAATTGCAGTTTAAACTATGGCAGGACCTCTCTGTAAGTTTGGTGTAGTGGTTAAGTGTGCGGACTCTAACCTGGGAGAACCGGGTTTGACTCCCCACTCCTCCACTTGCACCTGCTGGTGTGACCTTGGGTCAGTCACAAGCTCTGGCACAGCTGTTCCTGAAAGAGCAGTTTGTGTCAGAGTTCTCTCAGCCCCACCCACCTCACAGGGTGTCTGTTGTGGGGAGGGGAAGGGAAAGGAGTTTGTAAGCCGCTCTGAGACTCCAAGTGAAGGGCGGGGTATAAATCCAATCTCTTCTTCTTCTTCTAAGCCTTCCTGAAGGGCCCCCTGCCTCAAAAGCCAAGCCAAAAAATTCGAATCGAGGTTGAGATATCTCCTAAATCTGAAGTTACAGAAAACTGGGCTTTCTCCTAGGGATTTAATGAATTTAGGATACACAAAAGCCTCATCGGTGATCAGCCAAAGAATTCACAATATAAAGGTATAATAGTATCTGAGCATTGCTAGAAGATACTATTATGCAGAGTGTCAGTAATCAGCACCAGCAAATTATCTGAGAAATCTTATCACTCCAAAGACAAGATTAGCTTTTCCTCAGGCACGATTTAATGTTCTCTCTTCTGGGCTCTTAAATGGAAGATATTAAATATATATCTATATTATGAACGGAATTGCCCCTGTGGTAGTTAGGAAGCACGTTCTTTTATATTGACCTCTTTATAAAGATCTTCACGATGAGCTGCGTCTTCCCATTCCACAAAAATTTCTGGGGAGAACAGAAAAATCTTATTGTCTTCCTAGCAGAAAAACACCATCCGATTACAGAGAAGGTAGCTAAAATCTGCTCAACAGCAAAATCTATCCGTGCTTCATTGGGGGAAGTAGTTACGTTGGTTTAGTCTATTTAAACGCTGTTAATTTTACAAATAGGGTTTTACTATTTGAAAATGTACATGTCTTTTTCCTTTTTTGTTTTATTAATTCTTATGGGATCATAACTGATTGTATAACGGAAATACTGTGAATTGTTTGTTGTTTAACAACACTAGTCACTGACTAAACAATGGGTGCGATCATACGTACCAAAAGCGGCGGCAACGGTGCGATTCCCCCGTGGAGTAAAGGGGCGCAATCAGACAGAAACATCTGTCCAGCGTCCCAGAGTCGTTGGCGGGGCGTCTCGTTGCGCCGCAGGAGCGTGGAAAAAAGCCACCAGGGAAAGGCTACTAGTATCCGGAACTGCGGGGCGCGCGGGCGGAAGTCTGATTGTGCAAACGTGCATCATTTCGGCCTGGGGCAAACAGCTTCCCGCCCGCATTATCTCGCGCGTTGTGAACGCAGCCAAAATTTATCTATCTGTCTACCTACCTACCTACGAGGAAGAGTTCATGAGGATTCAGGGTTTTGTACACACATGGTACAAAACAGAAAAACATTTCTGCGACTGCTTTGTTTGAGGACCCAAGCTGGCTTCTACACTGAGGGCAGAAAACAGGGATACACAAATTTTCAGATTCTCCGAGGGACATGTTTAATTCTTTATTTTTCTTTACTTATACCCCACCGTTCACCTCAACGTGGACCCAAAGTAGCTTACACTGTTCCCCTCTCACCCGTGCCCCCCTCACAACAACCACCACCCTGTGAGGCAGGTCAGGCCGAGAGTGTGACTGGCCCAAGGTCACCAAGCAAACTTCCGTGGCAGAGTGGGAATTCGAACCTGGGTCTCCCAGATCCTTCCTCTGAGACCCTAACCGCTCCGCCACACTGACCCTCTTTGTCCTTCGGGGGAGCTGCAGCAAACGCTTACCTCCGGTGCTGTTTCTGGGAATACACCAGCAAGTATTTAACCCGTATGAGCTGGTTGTTCGTAACCACAAAGTACTTCTGGGGGACGTCGCCTCCCTCGCTGTTCCGCACCCGGGCTCTCTTCTTGTCGATTTCCTTAGAATCTGCAAAGGAAGAGGAGAGACCTTTTTAGAGATTGAGCAGAGCAAAGGTGGTGGTGGTGGTGGGGAAACGGTGGAGCCTGTGCATTAGAAACGCCCATGTTACACTTCTAGCGCATCCTTCCTCCAAGGGAGTCATGCAAAGCCGCTGTCAGTCAAAGGTGACTGCCTTCCTGGGCTGGATGGAGCCACAGTCTGGCTATCAATGCTCCCTTAAAGCTGTGGGGTCTTGTGAGCAGAAATTCTGCTTTGTGAGCTACGGGCATTAACGTTTGTGAGCAAGCGATTGGGCTGCCGCATGAATTGGTTTGCGCTGGAGCCCCATCCTTCCTGAGCTGAGACAAAAATGGGTGAGCCAGAGGCTAAAAAACTGTGAGCTAGCTCACACTAACTCAGCCTAGAGGAAATACTGACCCACAGAGGGGGTCACCTCCAATGCTCTCTCTAAGCCGTGGAGTCTTGTGAGCAAAAATTCTGCTTTGTGAGCTACCGGCATTAAAGTTGCGAGTGAGCGATTTGGCTGCTGCATCAATTAGTTTGCTCTGGCGCTATCCTTCCTGAGCTAAGACAAAAATGTGTGAGCTGGAGGCTAAAAAATGGTGAGCTAGCTCACACTAACTCAGCCTAGAGGAAATACTGACCCACAGAGGGGGTCACCTCCAATGCTCTCTCTAAGCCGTGGAGTCTTGTGAGCAAAAATTCTGCTTTGTGAGCTACCGGCATTAAAGTTGCGAGTGAGCGATTTGGCTGCTGCATCAATTAGTTTGCTCTGGCGCTATCCTTCCTGAGCTAAGACAAAAATGTGTGAGCTGGAGGCTAAAAAATGGTGAGCTAGCTCACACTAACTCAGCCTAGAGGAAATACTGACCCACAGAGGGGGTCACCTCCAATGCTCTCTCTAAGCCGTGGAGTCTTGTGAGCAAAAATTCTGCTTTGTGAGCTACCGGCATGAAAGTTGTGAGCGGGCGACTGGGCTGCAGCAGAAATTAGCTTGCTCTGGAGCCCCATCCTTCCTGAGCTAAGGCAAAAATCTGTCAGCCGGAGACTAAAAAACTGCTAGCCAGCCCACACGGACTCAGAGGGAACACCCGTTCGGCCCAAGGCAGTTCCCGAGGTCTTTGAGGCTCACCTTTCTTCTGCACCTGGCATTTGACATCCGGGTGATCGATGATCTCGCACACGGCCACGCAGCTCAGGACGGGGCCCAGGGCACTGTGCTGCCAGCCAAGTCCGTGGGGGCTATAGAGGAGAGCGAGGCCCAGGTCACTGCTCAGGTAGGTGCCTTCCCCAAACAAGGACGTCTGGAAGAGCATAAAAGGGTGTTGGCGCACGGATCCAAATGACATTCGGCCGCCCCACCCCCCCGCCCCAGGCCAGAATGTACCGAAGTCCTGCCGTGCCTTTAGGTGACGGAAATGTTCAAACATCTACATTGAACAAGAGAGACTATTCTGCCAGCGGTTTTCTGCAGCTGCTCTTGCTCCACCAAAACCAGATATATCTGGAGACTTTGCTTCCCAGTTTGGTGTAGCGATTTGGTGTAGAGGTTAAGAGGGCGGACTCTAATCTGGGAGAACCGGGTCTGATTCCCCACGCCTCCACATGCAGCTGCTGGTGTGACCTTGGGTCCATCACAAGTTCTCTCAGAGCTGTTCTTGAAAGAGCAGTCCTCAAAAGAGCTCTCTCAGCCCCAACTACCTCACAGGGGGTCTGTTGTGGGGAGAGGAAGGGAAGGAGATTGTAAGCCGCTCTGAGACTCCTTCGGGTAGTGAAGGGCGGGGTATAAATCCAATCTCCTCTTCCTTCTTCTTTTACTAACCAATGTAACAGCAAAAAGAAGAAGAGCTGGATTTATACTCTACCCTTCATTCGGCGTCTCAGAGCGGCTTACAATCTCCTTCCCTTCCTCTCCCCACAACAGACCCCCTGTGAGGTAGTTGGGGCTGAGAGAGCTCTTTTGAGGACTGCTCTTTCAAGAACAGCTCTGAGAGAACTTGTGACGGACCCAAGGTCACCCAGCCGGCTGCATGTGGAGGAGTGGGGAATCAAACCTGGTTCTCCAGATTAAAGTCCGTGTTCTTAACCACTACACCAAACTGGTTTCACAATACCATTAACAGATTGGGGAGATGTGTATATATGTGATTTGTTATTAGTAGAGCTTTCTTTGTAAAAATATGAAGTAAAGGGGGAAAAAGGTATTGCACAGCTCTCAGTTTTACTCAAAATCCCACTGTGTGGGGGAGAGAATTTTCTTGATTTCCACATTTCTGGATGCTTTTACATTTCCAGCCTGGCCCCTCTTGGCCCCTCAGAGAGGTACCTTTTCACAATCAGGAGTCCTGCCAAGGAACTTCCTGCTCCTCTCCCCCCCCCCAATACTCTGCAGAAACAGTTAGAGAGAAACGGAAGGAGGGCATTTTTAGTGTAAAACATTAAACCTCCCTGGAAGCTGCTCAAAGCCTTTGGGAACCAAGTGGGACAGAAAGCTCACAAGCAAGCACATCTGCGGGCGCACGAACGCTATGCGCTGGCTGACCTGGCTCCAAAGCGGTGCAATCAGAAACAAGCAGGGGGAGTCAATGGTGCCTCAGAGAGGCAAAGACTGGGCTGAAAGCCGAGGGTTTTTGGCACAGGGCACGGCCACCTGCTCCGGGTAGAGATGTAAAATTTCTGGAAATTTTGAAGCTCGGAAAAAAACTGAAATTTTGGAAAAATTGAAAAAAAATGCAACATTAGCACTTCTTTTTTTCCCAGATTGAAAGTCACTCTGTTACTTTAGGAACATAAAATATGACTATGGACATTTTTACTTGGCATGAAATTATCACAACTAGCATATTAAAAATATAGCGTATCCAAACAATTATTACAAACAGAATACCCACCCACATGCAAAAACAAAACTGAAACCTTTTCCTTTTCTTGTGACAATAGCACCTAAAGGAAGAAATGCATCTTGTTCTTGCATTGGAGAGTTCAGTTTGTAACCTAGGACTTGCTTGTCCTCAGTGCACAGAAATTCGATCAATCTGATACCATACATATTTATTAGAAATGATTTGGAAAATATTTGAACACCTTACCCTAAAATATTTTATTCATCATGTTAAAATAAAATGTTCCATAATCATTTTTTTTCTTTTCTTTTTTCAATTTTTCGGAAAAAAACAAAAAAGTCTTCAGGGGAAAAAACGGGGGAAACGTGTTTTTTTCCGGGCCTTCACATCTCTAGCTCCGGGGACTTGAGCCCAAGCCTCACCCAGGTAGCAGGGACACCTGGCATCAAGCCATGAGCACTACATGCATGGCACATTTACCAAAAAAAGGGATAAGGTACTGTAGTCTATTGCAAGAAGAAGAGGAAGAAGAGGAGAAGATTGGGATATATACCTCACCCTTCACTACCCAAAGATGTCTCAGAGCGGCTTACAAACTCCTTTCCCTTCCTCTCCCCACAATAGGTTGGTGGGGCTGAGAGAGCTCTGACAGAAACAGCTCGTTTTCAAGGACAGCTCTTGTCAGAACTACGGCTTGCCCAAGGCCATCCAGCAGGTGCAAGTGGAGGAGTGGGGAATCAAACCCGTTTCTCCCAGATTAGAGTCCGCGCACTCAACCACTACACCAAACTGGTTTATTGTCCACATCCCTTCCCTTTCGTTTACTGTGATGTCCTAAACCTCTGTAACCCCCTTTCTGCATGACAGGATGTCACGCATCAGCCAGTTTTCCATTTTCTTTGCTTTCCAGTTCCACAGAACGAAGTTTCAGTCCAGCGGCACTTTTAAGACCAACAAGGTTTTTATTCTGGGGATAAGCTTTCGTGTGCATGCCACAAAATTCAATGCCCAGAATTAAACTTCGCTGGTCTTGAAGGTGCCGCTGGACTCAAACTTTGTTTGACTGGCCCAAGGTCACCCAGTAATCTTCCATGGCAGAGTGGAGATTTGAATCTGGATCTCCGAGATCCTAGCCTGACACTCTAACCACTACGCCACACTGGCCCTCAGATCCTAATCCGACCGAATTGAGAGAGAAGAGAAAAAGAGATTGGATTTATCTCCCGCCCTTCACTCCCCAAGGGACTCTCAGAGTGGCTTACAATCTCCTTTCCCTTCCCCTCCCCACAACAGACACCCTGTGAGGTAGGTGGGGCTGAGAGAGCTCTGACAGAAACTGCTCTTTTCCAAGGACAGCTCTTATCAGAACTACGGCTTGCCCAAGGTCATCCAGCCAGGTGCAAGTGGAGGAGTGGGGAATCAAACCTGGCTCTCCCACATTAGAGTCCGCACACTTAACCACGACACCAAACCGGCGTTTATTGGACTTCTGACTGAACTGCTTTGCATGTTTTGTAATCCGCCATGAGTCTCAGTGGAGAACGCAGCCTACAAACGACGTTAATGCTCATAATAATTATTAACAGGTGGCTTGAAAAGCAAAGAGTGCAGTGGAAGCATTGGCTTTACCCGCTGCAAACAGGATAAAAAGGGGCCAGGTTGTACCACTGGCCAGCACCACGAAAGGGTGCAAACACGCCCTGAGAAGCGACAGCCAGCCGAGGTAGGCTACAACCGAGACAGGGACCCTCACCTTGTTTAAATGGCACTGCAAACCGTTGTGTACGATGGAGTGGAAGTTTTCCAGGCGGCTCCCGTGGAATGCATAGATGAGGTCCCTTCCTCCCCGGGTCTCCTCAAACTTGGCATCCAGCTGACCGGAGTAGGTGATTTCGAACAAGAAATCCGGCGCAGGGACCGCAACGCTGGGCACTCCAGTCAGCTCCTGGATCTTCTTATACTTAAAAGCAAGCAAGGTTTCTTTCAGGTATTGGTTTAGAGGGGGGGGGGGAACCCAGCTCCTTGGCCTCCAAAATTGAAAAGAAGAAGAGACTGGATTTATACCCCATCCTTCCCCACCCAAAGGAGTCTCATAGCGGCTTCCAATCTCCTTTCCTTTCCCCTCCCCACAACAGACACCCTGTGAGGTAGGTGGGGCTGAGAGAGCTCTTTTGAGAACTGCTCGTGAGAGAACAGCTCTGAGAGAACTTGTGACTGACACAAGGTCACACCAGCAGCTGCACGTGGAAGAGCCAGGACTCAAACCTGGTTCTCCCAGATTAAAGCCTACACTTCTAACCACTACATCAAACTGGCTCTCAAGCTATTATCGTGCTGGTCTGTGACCAAAACAAACGATTCTTTTATCTGGCCCAGAGTCCCAGGTGTAACTGCTTCCCCTGGAATCGCCTTGAGCGGAAGGTCTCACCAACTGCTCCGCAACGCCCACTCTTACCTCATTTCTGTTGGCACTGTGGATGGTCAAGGCCTTGGAAGACAGGATCCAGGCCAGCAGGTCCCAGGTCCTTTGGGCTGCGTTCTGGGGAGACGCAAGGAGCTCTTTCAGGCTCACCAATGCATTTGCGTCTGCAAGCTGAGAGAGAGAGAAAAGCCACATTTGCATGGAGATTTCTGGCTTCTCTTGACCATCTCTCATGAATCAACAGGGACCCCTAGTGGGCAAGCAAAAGCAACATCTGGAAGGGAGCCCAACCGAGTTCCACGGGGCTGACTTGCAGGGAAACACATGTGAGATTGCAAAAAAAGAAGAAAAAAACAGGACAAAAATTATGTTCGAACAAAAAGGCACCATAGCTTAGCTGTAGCCTTCCTTCCCATCTTGGGATCAAAGAGAGAAGTTGTACAGAATCTTCCACGGAATAGAATATCCCAGCGGTCTGTAAGGAAGTATGTTGTTTGGGTTTATCACAGGGCAAACCCCTGGCCCAGCCTGCTAAAGGCAATGGGCTTGTTTTAACTACACCCACCTGTTGCTTTTGGCTGTCAACGGAACCGTCCTTGGGAATCTCCCTGAGTTGTTTCAACCGACTAGTGCCAATTAGCTAAGCGTGTCCTCATTGGCTAATGGATGCATGGGCTGGGGGGTTGGACGATGACCCTGGAGGTCCCTTCCGATTCTATGCGGCAAGGGGGCCCTGAAAACACGCCTTGCTCAGAGCAGAAGGACTAGAGGCTTTATATAATTATAAGTTACAATCCTACATATATAATCATATTGTTTTGTTGTTGTAGATTTCTCCGGGCTGTGTGGCCTTGGCATTGTGGGACCTGACGTTTCGCTAGCAGCTGCGACTGGCATCCTCAGAGGTGTAACACAGAAAGATGGAGTACTCTCAGTGTCATGGTGAGAAGAAAAATGGTAGGCAGGTAATTTAAGAACATAAGAGCATAAGAGAAGCCAATGTTGGAACAGGCCAATGGCCCATCCAGTTCAACACTTTATATCTAATTTATATCTACTCAGGAAGGTGGGGTAGGGCTGAGTCATTATCTTGTAGGAGTTCCCCAGGCTGTGAACATGCTAATGGAGGCGCTTTCCTGAGGAGGTTCTTTTGCATATGGATCGGCCGTTGGAATTCTAATCTTATCTGTCGTGCTGTTTTAAGATGCAGAGCATTTTGTTTTTTTTCAGGACAGAAAACCATGCCCTATTTATTTTTAAACTCTCCTCTTTCCTGTTGAAATTGTGTTTATGTTTATGAATTCAATGGTTTCCCTGTGTAATCTGACATGGTAATTGAATGTGTTGTCCAGCCTTTCAGTGTCTACATATACAATGTCATATACTTTCTAAGCTATGATGCCACACCTTTCTGTTCACCCCCCCCCCCTCTTGCATAACATACAATCTTATCAAGATTTTGTTCCCCCCCCCCCCGTTATTGTATAAATATACATTTTGAATAAGCAATGTCCCTAACATTTGTAAAATTCCCCTTTACGTTGTGTTTTTGACAACTATATTTCTTATGCTTCCCCCCCCCTTTCCTCGTTTTTCTTATGCTGTATCCCTTTAAAAATTCAAATAAAAATCTATTAACAAACAATATGGACTAGAAGCTTGACGCCTGTCAGATTCTGCAGCGTTCTTTGGCCGGGCTTCCAGGCTCGGGTGCTAATTGCGAGCAAAGCTCCAGTTGGCTTCTGCCAGCAACTATTATTAACATTTAAAAGTAACCCGGCCTGCTTTAGTAATGGGGATCACCAGCAAACCCACCACCACCACCCCCAACCTGGCAACGTCCACCCAGGAAGACTCATTTAACAGCCCTCAACCAAAACGTGACCTCCTGCCACAAGATTCTTTATTTTCATAGAATTTTTTCAATTAAAAATATGTTAGTAGATACGAAAATTGCCGGAGGAAAAAATTATAAAAATAAAAATAAAGAATAAACAGAACAATAAAAAGAACCAACCCCAAAACGAAAATATACAAGGATTCAAACAATCAAAATTATGAAGAGCAGGTAAATACAGCACTCAAGAAGAAGAGGAAGAAGAGATTGGATTACCCTGATGCATTTAAGATACACCGACTTCTCAATGACTTCTCTTCTGACAACACTGAGAAGATGATGAGAGACAGAAAATTGCTGCAGACGTGCACACAGAAGTAAATTACACAGAAGTAAATAAGATTCTGGTACTGATAAATTTCATGATGTATGGTCTTTATATTCAACAGGTGAACAGACTGGCAGACGAACTTCTCGAGTTGATGCTCGTTTCGAAGTGCTTTTCTCAAATGAGTCTCAATTTTACATCCATGTGCAATAAAGTCAACAATGGAGTCTTGAATCAAAACGGTCTTCTCTTGTCCATTTGAAATGTTATGCTTGTAGCTATATAGCTTTGGGGAGAAGTTCGTCTGCCAGTCTGTTCACCTGTTGAATATAAAGACCATACATCATGAAATTTATCAGTACCAGAATCTTATTTACTTCTGTGTAATTTACTTCTGTGTGCATGTCTGCAGCAATTTTCTGTCTCTCATTGTTACTATATTGCTGTTCCCATTGTTGTTATTTATCACTGAGAAGGCGGCCAAGTTTCTCCACTCTGTTTTAAAGCTGCGCCAAAGGATCCTAGAGACATAGTTTTTTTATAGGTGTGTTTTAATCTGTAATGGCTTGGTGTAGTGGGTTAAGTGTGCAGACTCTAATCTGGGAGAACCGGGTTTGATTCCCCACTCCTCCACTTGCACCTGGCTGAATGACCCTGGGCAAGCCGTAGTTCTGATCAGAGCTGTTATTGAAAGAGAGCAGTTTCTGTCAGAGCTCTCTCAGCCCCAACTACCTCCTAGGGTGTCTATTGTGGGGAGGGGAAGGGAAAGGAGTCTGTAAGCCCCTCTGAGACTCCCAGTGAAGGGCGGGGTGTAAATCCAATCTCTTCTTCCTCTTCTTCTTAAATTGTACAATCTAGAGACACAGTATTTGTATAGGTGTATTTTTAATCTGCTCTTAAACTGTATAATCTTCATCGACAGTTTATGCCAATAAAGGCTAGCTTGACTTGACTAGATGGTCTGTATGGCCCCTTCGAACTCTAGGATTCTGTGTCCAAGGAAGTCCAGGGTTGGTGTGCAGAGGCAGGCAAGGGCAAACCCACCTCCATTTGTCTCTTCCTTTGAAAGCCCTACAGAGTGTTCCCTCTAAGCTGAGTTGGTGTGAGCTAGCTCATAGTTTTTTAGACTCTAGCTCACACATTTTTGTCTTGGCTCAGGAAAGACGGGGCTCCAGAGCAAACTAAGTCATGCAGCGGCCAAATCGCCTGCTCACAACTTTAATGCCAGTAGCTCACAAAGTAGAATTTTTGCTCACAAGACTCCACAGCTTAGAGGGAACATTGGTTGCCACCAGTGTTCCCTCTAAACTGAGTTAGTGTGAGCTAGCTCACAGTTTCTTAGCCTCCGGCGCACAGATTTTTGTCTTCGCTCAGGAAGGGATGGCTCCAGGGCCAACTAATTTATGCAGTAGCCAAATCGCTCGCTCACAGGTTTCATGCCAGTAGCTCATGAAGTACAATTCTTGCTCACAAGACTCCACAGCTTAGAGGGAACATTGGTTGCCACATGTCAGTTGTGTCAAGACAACACATCCCACCACTATTTTTGTCCTGACTTGAATGGCCCAGGGAAGACTAGTCTCATCAGATCTCGGAAGCTAAGCAGCTCTAACCCTGCTTGTCTCTGGCCCTGAAAACCCCACAGGGTAGCCATACGTCGGCTGCGGCCTGACACCACTTTCTGCCACCAATCCTAAGTACATTGACGAGGGAATAAACCCCGTCTTGCTCGATGCGACTTACTTTTAAGTATCCATATTTAGGATTGCTCCACTACTCTAATCTGGGAGGACCGGGTTTGATTCCCCACGCCTCCACTTACAGCTGCTGGAGGACCTTGGGCAAGCCGTAGTTCTGTCAGAGCTGTTCTCTCAAGGGCAGTTCTTGGGAGCGCTCTCTCACCCCCCCCGCCTACCTCACGGGGCGTCTGCTGTGGGGAGAGGAAGGGAAAGGAGTTTGTAAGCTGCTCTGAGACTCCAAGTGAAGGGCAGGGTATAACTCCAATCTCCTCCTCCTCCTCCTCCTCCAATGGACTGTAAGCCACCCTGAGCCCGTCCGCGGGGAGGGCAGGGTATAAATATACAAAAATATACAAAAATAAATAAATAGACTAGTAGCCCTGATCATAAGTCAATCTATCTATCTCATATGGCATCCATTTTCTTGCCCACTTCCTCCCTCTTGCGCTAGTGGGGTTCTTTGAGCTTTCCTGAGAGATTGAACATGACCTCCGGTAATCTCTGAGGGGCGACCCGATAGACAGAATTAAGCAAACAGAACATTGGACCTAATGGGCCACGTATCCTATCTCCTTTGGCTGAGACAACTCAAAGACACCCTTTCCGTGAAATCATTGGCCTGCAATGCAGAAGCACCATACAGGAAGAAAGCCATCGCTCTCGTTTGCAACGTCGACAGCTGGCAGCTACTTGGTGACGAGCCCTGGCTCACCTCCAGGGTGTGGTCAGAGTCCTTTCCGACTCAAGGACGCTCCCGGCTTGCCCTCAAGGAAGTCTGTATTACTGTCAAGGGCAGCTCTCTCTCTCTCTCTCCCAGAAAAGAAAGGAGAGGTTGCTCTCACACCTGTATTCATTTGATACATTCCTGGGTTCCCCCAAACTGTGCAAAACTGGATTATTCAAGAGGGCTTTTCTATGCAGGCAATAGACTCGCGCTGTATGCCGTGTGCTAATTTACTGCTCACCCTCTACCTATACATATGGACTGGTAATTTCCATTTCATTGAATCTGAGTAAGCGTGCGCACACACAAAAGCTTACACCTTGAATAAAACTTTGTTGATCTTAAAGAACGAGAAAAAGAGATTGGATTTATACCCCGTCCTTCACTACCCAAAGGTGTCTCCGAGCGGCTTACAAACTCCTTTCCCTTCCCCTCCCCACAACAGACACCCTGTGAGGTAGGCGGGGCTGAGAGAGCTCTGACAGAAACTGCTCTTTTTCAAGAACAGCTCTGCCAGAACTACGGCTTGCCCAAGGTCATCCAGCAGCTGCACGTGGAGGAGTGGGGAATCAAACCCGGCTCTCCCAAATTAGAGTCCGCGCACTTAACCACTACACCAAACTGGCTCTCCAAGGTGCCACTGTGTCAGCTAGGCTGCCATGATGTTTATGGGGAAGAGTGCATCTGCTTGACCTGTGTACCAACTGCTGCCGCATTCCTTCGTTCTTTATCATCTCTGACCTTGCAAGCTGCCTGTGTAGTGTCTTCCAGCCAGGGCTCTTTTTGTAGAAAAAGCCTAGCAGGAACTCATTAGCATAATAGGCCACACCCCTGACAGCACAGCTCATTAGCACATTAGGCCGCACCCCCATGTTACCAGAAGTGTGGTTATCCAGCCACACCCACCTTTTGCTTCTTATTCTGTTTACCTTGTTTGTTGTCAAAACCCTGGGCCTTTTTTGTAGCAGAAACTCCTTTGCATGTTAGGCCACACACCCCTAATGTAGCCAATCCGAATGAGTTTCTGCTGTTGGGTGTGGCCTGTTATGCTAATAAGCTCCTGCTGGGCATGGCCAACTTGGGAGCCAGCCGGAACTCCGTTCCTGTGCGTTCCTGCCCCAAAATAGCCCTGCTTCCAGCTTTTACCCGTGGGATAAGTTTCGATTCCCAGCTTTGGCTTTAACGGCCTGGAGGCCCATTCTCCCACGCACGGAAGTCAGGCCGATTGGCCTAGGAGTGGATGTGTGCATACGAATACCCTATATCCCATTATGCCTTTAGGAACGTAGCCATTCCTAACAGTGACGCTGTTACTGCCTCTATAGCTCTTTCAATAAAGTATAACTTTATGATAAGTGTGTACGTTGTTTGGCTATGGAACCTGACACACTGAACTCAGACTTTGTTCTACTGAACTGAATTCTGCACACCAGGGCAGTGTTCCCTCTAAACTGAGCTAGTGTGAGCTAGCTCACAGTTTTTTAGCCTCCGGCTCACACGTTTTTGTCTCAGCTCAGGAGGATGGCGCCGGAGCAAACGAATTCATACAGCCGCCAAATCACCCGCTCACAACTTTAATGCCAGCCGCTCCCAAAGTAGAATTTGTGCTGAGAAGACGCCACAGCTTAGAGGGAGCACTGACCAGTAAGGTTTGTATTGAAACCGTTACATAAGTAAGCGCTTCTGAAGTGATAAATGACATAGCTATGAGCCGACACACAGGTCACTGTTATGCAGTTATTTAAAACAGATGGGCAAAATCGCGCAGTTTATTCCGCACCACTGAAATGTTTTGCGCACATTGTCCTGGCACTGCTGGGGAGGAAGGGAGAGCTACAAAGGCTACCCGGGCTCTCACCCTAACCCTCGGAAACTTCGCTAGGTTTCTAAAATTTCAGCCAGCATTCCTCACAAACCTTCTACAACTATACGGAGGAGACTGGATTTATACCCCGCCCTTCTCTGTCCGAAGGAATCTCAGAGCGGCTTCCAATCTCCTTTCCCTCCCCCCTCCTCCCCACAACAGACACCCTGTGAGGTCAGTGGGGCTGAGAGAGCTCTTTCAAGGACTGCCCTTGAGAGAACAACTCTGAAATAACTCGTGACCAACGCTTCCTCTAAGCTGCGGAGTCTTGTGAGCAAAAGTTCTACTTTGTGAGCTACTGGCATTAAAGTTGTGAGCGAGCGATTGGGCTACTCCGTAAATCAGTTTGCTCTGGAGCCCCATCCTTCCTGAGCTGAGGCAAAAAATGTGTGCGCCGGAGGCTAAAAAACTGTGAGCTAGCTCACACTAACGCAGCTTAGAGGGAACACTGCGAGGCGTGACTAACCCAAGGTCACACCAGCAGCTGCATGTGGAGAAGGAGTGGGGTATCAAACCCAGTTCTCCCAGATTAGAGTCCGTGCTCCCAACTACTATACCAAACCGGCTCTCTAAGGCCTAGAAGCTTGCTCCTTAAAGGAGCAAGCTTCTAGGCCTTAGAGAGCCGGTTTGGTATAGTAGTTGCTATAGTATAGTATAGTAGAAGCTTGCTCCTTTTAATATATATATTAAAAGGAGAGCTGTGGTGGCTCAAGTGGTTAAGACGCTGAACTGCAGGCTGTGGAAGGTCAGTAGTTCAGCAGTTCGAGACCCGGGTGCCGCATGATGGAGTGAGCTCCCATCTCTAGTTCCAGCTCCTGCCAACCTAGCAATTCGAAAGCAAGAAATTGCAAGTAGATAAACACTTTGGTGGGGTCACAGCGTTCCGTGCGCCTTGGTGTTTAGTCATGCCGGCCACATGACCACGGAAACGTCTTCGGACAGCGCTGGCTCTTCGGCTTTGAAACGGAGACGAGCACCGCAACCCTAGAGTCGGACTCGACTGGCTTTCGAGCAAGGGAACCTTTACCTTTACCTTTATATTAAAAGGAGCAAGCTTCTAGGCCTTAGAGAGCCGGTTTGGTATAGTAGTTGGGAGCACGGACTCTAATCTGGGAGAACCGGGTTTGATTCCCCACTCCTTTTCCACATGCAGTAGGGAGTTCAAGAGGCACAGGGAGAGCAAGGAAAATATCCCGGGGGGGGGGGTTACACGGACTGCCTCTCTGCTCTGGCCCTGTCCCGTCTTTCTTCAACAGGCCCTGCTGGGGATGCTGGCCCCGAGTGCGGGTGAGGATGGCCCCCCCCTCACTTCAAAGTTACAGTCAAGTGTGAAAAGTCCACTTCGCGCAAACGCACTGAAGACAGCCTCCTGCGGTCTGCTGCAGCCACTCCGCTTCGGTCGCAGGGATCTCCCCGCCCCACCCACACACACACCCCCGGTGCCAACTCACCAAAGCCTCAAAGTCCTTGGCTTCCTCGGTGGCGTATGAGCCCGGGAAGGGCCGGAGGGCGGAATCCCGCTTGTAGCTCTGCAGGGCGGAGACGAAGAAGCTGCACTTGAGGTCGGCGGCCAGGAGGTCCGTCTGCAGAGCCTCCTTGGCCCGCTCGGCGAGGGCGGCACCCTCACCCGCACTCGGGGCCGGCATCCCCAGCGGCAGAGCCTGCAGAGGGAAAACAGAGCAGGCTCAGAGGAGGGAGGCCAGGGAGGAAGTCCATGTACTCCCCACCGGGGGGGGGGGGGGGCATTTCCCAGCCCCAAATTTCCCAGCCCCACACACCCCAGATTTAAAACCACCCTAAGTACCACTTCGGTGGGAAGGTAACAGCGCTCCGTGCGCCTTGGTGTTTAGTCATGCCGGCCACATGACCACGGAAACGTCTTCGGACAGCGCTGGCTCTTCGGCTTTGAAAGGGAGATGAGCACCGCAACCCTAGAGTCGGGCTCGACTGGCTTTCGAGCAAGGGACACCTTTACCTTTTAAATAGGTACCGCTTCGGTGGGAAGGGAACAGCGCTCCGTGCGCCTTGGTGTTTAGTCATGCCGACCACATGACCACGGAAACGTCTTCGGACAGCGCTGGCTCTTCGGCTTGGAAACGGAGATGGGCACCGCAGCCCTAGAGTCGGACTCGACTGGCTTTCGAGCAAGGGACACCTTTACCTTTTTAAGTGGTGTAACCCAAGAGAAGTGGTGTAACCCTGTGATGTAACCTGTGCAGGCAGCCATCCGACCGGTCGAGCCTCTCCTTTCCACCCCCCCCCCTCCCCACTTTCCCTCCCAGGCTCAAGCAGAGCCTTCCACCCTTCAAGCCATCCCAGCCAGACCTGGGTTTTGTATGCGCTGCCGAGAAAGGCTGCAACCCCACCGGTCGAGCTTCCCCTGTTGAACTTCTGCCTGTCCTGCAGCTGGAAAAGGAGCCCGGGCTGTGCGGGCGGGCGGTGCAGCTCGTGTAGAGCTCCCCCTGGGTTAAATCTCCCCCACCCCAGAGCCTCACTGAGGTCTTGAAGCTTTGCTAACGGCCCCCTCTTCCGCTCTCCTCCAGCGGCTACGCGACAAGACGCTCTAAGCCCCGCCTCGCCCCGCCTGACCCGGCGCCCCTCGAGCATGCTCAGCAGCGCCGCCTGTAGCCACAGGCCTGCCCGAGTTCCCTTTACGCGTGCGCCATAGTTGCCGCTGACGCCACCCGCCTGCCCTTACCCTTCGTCGTGAGCGTGCGCATTAGCAGCGGCCGAAGCCCTGCCAGCCAGTGGTCTCCCCGAGCCCTCCGGTTTGCTCCGAGCATGCTCCGTGGCAGCCGATGAAGCCTTGCCTTTGCCCTTCTCTTTGCCTTGCCCTGTGGAAAACGTCAGCAAGGAAGAATGAGAGAGAGAGAGAGTAAAAAGGTAAAGGTAAAGGTTCCCTTGCTCGAAAGCCAGTCGAATCCGACTCTAGGGTTGCGGTGCTCATCTCCGTTTCAAAGCCGAAGAGCCAGCGCTGTCCGAAGATAATATTATATAGTCAGTGTTCCCTCTAAGCTGAGTTAGTGTGAGCTAGCTCACAGTTTTTTAGCCTCTGGCTCACACATTTTTGTCTTAGCTCAGGGAGGATGGCTCCAGAGCCAACTAATTTATGCAGTAGCCAAATTGCTCGCTTACAGCTTTAATGCCAGTAGCTCAGAAAGCAGAATAATTGCTCACGAGACTCCACAGCTTAGAGGGAACATTGTATATAGTAATGTGTTTTTTTGTTTAAATCTTTTATTTATTTATATTCTCAAAAACAACATATGCCACACTGTTGCCATCCGAAGATATGTATAAACCTAGATGTACAACTCAGTATCTCGTAAAACCTAAATCATAAATACTTATAACAATTTAGCAGAGAGATCTTCTATAGTTTTAAGGAGTAAGGATTACAGATTTTATCCTATCCCATCAAACTTTCATAGTAATGTTTCACATTAGTAACCATTTATGATAGTGTGAATTAGCAGGAAGTATATCGTGTGCGGTGAGGTATGAAAATATTGAGAACCAGGTTGATTCAAATTTGGAATTAGAAGACTGAGGTGTCAGTGCTCTTTTGTACTCTGTCTGATATCATCACAAATTGATGCCATATTTTTTCATGCCAGGCAAGTAACGTCGGTGGCGGAGGTTTTTAGAATCACAGAATCATAGAGTTGGAAGGGACCTCCAGGGTCATCTAGTCCAACCCTCTGCACAATGCAGGAAATTCACAAATACCTTCCCCCCCCACACACACACACCCCCAGCGACCCCTGTTCCACGCCCGGAAGATGACAGAAAACCTCCAGGGTCTCCAGCCAAACTGGCCTGGAGAAAAATTGCTTCCTGGCCCCAAAGTGGCGAACGGCATTTCCCTGGGCCTGCAAGAAAGGGTCACCAGACAGCTAAGCCCTGATGCAACCTTTCTTGCCACCCCTCTCTTGATCTGCCTAAATAATAGTTACATACAGGCAGTGTTCCCTCTAAGCTGAGTTAGTGTGAGCCAGCTCACAGTTTTTCAGCCTCCGGCTCACGCATTTTTGCCTTAGCTCAGGAAGGGATGGCTCCAGAGCAAACTAATTTATGCAGCAGCCACATTCACTAGCTCACAACTTTAATGCCAGTAGCTCACAAAGTAGAATTTTTGCTCACAAGACTCCACAGCTTAGAGGGAGCATTGGTTACATGTTCTTCTCCTATCTGCCTTGCCCTCCTGTCCCCTGCCAAAGAAGCAACCAGCAGCCTGAAGCTGGATTACTTAGTACACGCCATCAGATTTCTTTGAAATGTGTTATTGATGTTTTAATTGTTTTATCTTGATACATTTTTATGAATGTTGTACATCGCCCAGAGCCCAGCATTAGCAAGGATTGGATGATTAGCAAATAAATAAATAAATTTTCAAAAGAGGAGAGGCATATCACTAGGCATTATGACTGTGCAATGGAACCTCCATGGTGAAAGGCAGTATACCCCCGAATACCAGATCCTGCTATCAGCTTGACTCTCTGCCTGTGGTTTTCCAAACAGTAGTCTACAAACCTGACACGCTTGGCTGGCTTCGGTTTGACAGATGCTCGCTTGGATGAAGCCTGGGTCTGATAAATGCTGAGAACATTTTGTCTTTTTGTGTTTTTTAAAAAATCAACAGCCGCAAAAACATCCATGAATCATCCGCGGTATTGGAAATGAGCACTTTTTGTCAGAGGGGAGGAAGGGGCGATGACAGATTATCGGGGAGGGCGCCAGTTTTGTTGTTGCAGTATGAAAACAGACACGGCTTGGCTGGCCTGTCAGAGTCTTCGAAACGTTGAGCCATGTGGCATTCACGCACACCCTCCTCTCCACTGTCAAGTCCCGCGAAAGACAGATGACAGAAAAGCCCTTGAAGCCACAACTCAGATTAGAGGGTCCCCAGGTCCGTTCCCCACCGGCCACTGGGAGGGGATGGGGGGGTCGGGGTTGCCAGCTCCAGGGTAGGAAATTCCTGGAGATCAGTGGGGTACAGTGCCACAGAGTCCACCCTCCAAAGCATCCCTTTTCTCCAGGGTAATTGATCTCGGTATTCTGGAACTGAGTTGTAATTTCCAGGGGATCCCCAGGCCCCACCTGAAGGCTCATCTTACCCTTAAAGGAATAACAACAAGCACACAGGGAACACGCCTAAGTTCCCACGGAGAACCAGAACAGCCATGTTTACATTGTTTGACTTATGCATGGGTAAATTCAAGAGCTGTGGGTGAGTGCAGGAAATTTAGCCTTCTTCTCCCCCCCTTGTTTTTCCTGGTACTATGTAAGGATATTGAATTTATGTTATATTATGATATGCAGGGCTATTTTCGGGCAGGAACACACAGGAACGGAGTTCCGGCTGGCTCCTGAGTTGGCCACACCCAGCAGGAACTCATTAGCATAATAGGCCACACCCAACAGCAGAAACTCATTAGGATTGGCTACATTGTGGGGTGTGTGGCCTAACATGCAAAGGAGTCCCTGCTACAAAAAAAAGCTCTGGGTTTTGACAACAAGGTAAAAAGAATAAGAAGCAAAAGGGGTGTGTGGCTGGATGACCACACTTCTGGTAACATGGGGGTGCGGCCTAATATGCTAATGTGCTGTGCTGTCAAGAGTGTGGCCTAATATGCTGATGAGTGTCTGCTATTAGGTGTGGCCTATTATGCTAATGAGTTCCTGCTGGGCTTTTTCTACAAAAAAAGCCCTGATGATATGTATTGTTCTTCAGTTCCAGAAAAATTTATGCCTGAAGAAGATTTGCTCGAAAAACGCAGGTTATGCCCGGGAGGCGTGTTGCTAGGCCTGCTTGCTAGCTCAATCACCTAATGGGAAAAGACATCTACTAGGCTTGCTGGCTAAGCTGAATCAGCTGCCTGCTAGCTTTACCTGATGGATCATCACTTGGGAAATGTAGAATATGTTGCTGCATTGTTTCGGTGCAAATGACTGTACATTGGTATTTATCCTCCATCAGGAAGAAGACAGTTGGACTCTTCATGTTATATAACTTAGTTTGAAAGTGTTTGAAATGTGATGTTGTCGTTTCAAACCGTTTACAATACACTAGAGTTGATATTGTGTATAAAAAGCAAATATATTTAGCTATAAGTACATGTGACTATTGTGTTTATTATTTCAACACGGTGTTTTCTGTGTTTACCCACCTGGAGGCTGGCATCCCTTGTTTAGGGTGATGTTTTTGCATCTCTAGATCCGTTCCCCCCAGAGAAAATGGGAGCTTTGGGGGGAGGACTCTGTGGCCTTAGACTCTGCTCAGGTCCCTCCCGAAGCACTGCCCTACATAGGCCCAGAGGTCATTTCCTGCAGGAGCACACAGGAGCGGAACTCCGGCAGTAAAGAGCCCAGGGGGCGGGCACATGCAACAAGCCCCGCCCCCTGCTCCCAGCAGCCCTCAGTCAGAGCAAGAAGCAGCCAGGTAAGTTGCAGAGCCCCCCCCCAGTCCAAAACAGTCCAGTAGCACCTTTAAGACCAAGTTTTATTCAGGTACAAGCTCTCCCTCCTCTGTGAGGACAGATCTGCGCCTGCCCCCCCCCATAGCTAGACATCCAAAACAGTCCAGTGGTACCTTTAAGACCAAGTTTTATTCAGGCACAAGCTCTCCCTCCTCTGTGAGGACAGATCTGCACCTTCCCCCCCCCATAGCTAGCAATCCAAAACAGTCCAGTGGAGCGGTGACATCAGGGGGTGTGGCATATGCAAATAAGGTATGCTAATGAGCTCCTGCACATCTTTTTCTACAAAATGACCCCTGCATAGCCCCCCCCCCCAAATCTCCAGGTATTTCCTAACCTGGAACTGGCAACTCTTTCTTGGAATGAGAAAACCCGCAGCCCTGAGCAGAGCTACATCCTTCTAAGCTCACTGAGGTCAAAGGGTTTAGAAGGGAGGGATTCCATTCAAGACTGCGGGGCTGTGCCGTTGGCCCTTGGCCATCAGTATGAATGGGCGGCGCTGCTGAACTGGAACTTGGAGACGGGAGGGCCAAATGCCGTCAACAGGGCAAGGTGAAGCGAATGCTGACCATCCCTTGAAGAGCGTGGGCTTACAGGTAATAATCATCCCCGTTTTTATTGAATAAGTTATTAGTCAGTGCTTAAATTAAACTAGATGGGGTACCTACAGTTTGGTGTAGTGGTTAAATGCATGGACTCTAATCTGGGACAACTAGGTGTGATCCCCCACTCCTTCACATGCAGCTGCTGGTGTGACCTTGGGTCAGTCATAAGTTCTTTCAGAGCTGTTCTTTAGAGAGCCGGTTCTGGAGAGAGCTCTCTCAGCCCCACCTACCTCCCAGGGTGACTGCTGTGGGGAGGGGAAGGGAAAGGAGTTTGTAAGCCGCTCTGAGACTCTGAGTGACGGGTGGGGTATAAATCCAATCTTTTC